ATTGTATAATACTGTATAAGTAGTATTGTGTAATTAACTTGAAACATTGTGTATTTAACTCGAAACATTGTGTATTCAATTCAAATTTTGCTACAATAGGCTCCATTCTTAAATATGGGTCCTTAAACCAGGAGTTCTTAACCCAGGAACTATCTGTGCTAATTTCCTAATCACTCCTTCCCATGATTCAGTTATAGATTGATAAAATTATCAGAATAGGAGGCGGTAAACAGTTCAGATTATAACCCTTGCAGTATGGCACTTTGTACCCTATCTAGAGTTGCAGACTATAGATGAGATTTTTTAAAACTAAATAATTTAATAATTAGAGTTTTGTAGTTTTTCGCATATTCTGTTTATGTATACAATTTAGAACCCCTATGAATTGCCTCTACTGTGTTTTTTTCCAATTCCCTTTCCTATTGTGTTCTTTTATGTCTTGCAGTGCAGCCCATCCAGATGGTTTATCCTTCTTAGAGTAGTTCTTTGGGAGCTTGCAAAACACTACAATGGGGCAAGATAAATCTCTCAAGCTTGAGCAATCCATTAGGGGCAAATTATCACATTTATCATGCATTAAGAACTTAACATTGGTAATCAGTATGTCTATTGAGGTTTAAAATGTTAAAAAAAAAACTTAGTTCATCAGGCTAGCTTGTTTTTTTGTTCATTTCATATGCAGTGTTGTTCTTGAATAAAGTATGTTTGGCTTGGATTTCAGATACCGCAAACTGGCACTAAAATGGCACCCTGACAAAAATCCAGATAATAAAGAGGAAGCTGAGAGACAATTCAAGCAAGTTGCTGAGGCTTATGAAGTGCTGTCAGATGGTGAGTAATAATGTGGAAGACTTCCACGTCAGGACCTGTGGTGGTTAGAAAATGCCTAAAAATGTTGAATGTATATTTGGCCTCAGAATGTCAAGGAATAAATTCTGCAAGAATGGACTGGGTAGAAATGTTCTCCTCTGGACTTTCCATGGAAAAATGGAAATATAATGCACTGGATACTTGTTCACAGCAGCTGTGGAGAGGGAAAGAAAGGAAGGTGTTGGTAAGAGTGGGGAGTAGGTGGAATGTTTAAGGGAACAATAATTTATATGATTGAAAAATCAATTTCAATCTATATTTAATGTAATTATATAAATCAGGGCAAGATGTTATGCAGCTCAGTCTGATTTTACCCTCCCCTCCAACCAATATGTCAGTTCAGATTTCTAGCAAATACTCTGTCCTTTATCGTATGTTAGGGTTTCCCAGTCTATAATCTCCCTTGAGGAGGTGCAGATACAGTCCAGGAAAAGTGTGAAGAACCTTTAAATTGTACATTGTTATAATAAAACCACTTTTCTCAAAGTTTCTTTTTTTTTTAAATAGTATTTTATTGGAATTTTAAAGTTAAAAGTTAGAAATGAAAAAGAAAATTGAAAATACAAATTATAAAGAAAAGGAAAAGAAAAAGGATATGAAAAATAGATAACTTCCAATCTATCTCTGGTCTTAGGAATAATAAGACTATCATAAGTGCTAGTTTTGAATACATTAAGTAGGAATAATTCTTTGTCAAAACATATCCCATTACATTTATAATCTAATCTTCAAATCCCCATGTAAGCTTCACCCCACCTGCATTTTGCAAATAGTCCATCAATGGTTTCCTTATATATATCATTTTT